CTAGGTCCTAGCTCTCTGCCTCTTCACTTTACCTTCCTCTGGGTTAGCTTTGTTCTCACATAGACTTCCCCTTGAGGTTGCCAAGATAGCTAACTGGAGCTGCAGGTTCACTTTCACCAGCTGATTTAAACACAGTGCAAATGAAGAAGAAGCTGTTCTCCATCAAAACAGCTCAGGAAGGTTCCAGCCCTGAACAGATCCTGGTAGCTGGCTGGGACCCAATCCTGAAATTAGAGATTGGGACCACCCCACCCTCCTCACCTGACCAGTATGAAAGTAGAGCAGGGAAAGTTTCCAAAGGAAAATTGGGTGCTCTTCCTGAAAGAATGGGCAAGAATTCTGGCAAGTGAAGTCAATAGATTATGAGAAAACACCTCAAAAAAGAAGAGATGGGTATTAGTGCATGCTACATAAAAGCAATGAAAATAGTTGTCTTGAACATGGCCTCAAGGCAATTCATCAAAAACAAAACAAAACCCTCTTTATTCACTTTTATGACTGAAAATTAGATGGCTGGAGGGGAAAAATCCTTTTCTGGACCTTGTGTTCTTTGGGCTGCTGGAAAAGTGTAGAGGAAATGATGGGTTTGTAGGTAGCTCCCTTTCCATCAATTTCTACTGTGTCTTTATGTGTTTCTGTGACTAGAAAGTTAAATATGACAGTTCCCAGACTCCCTTGCAGCTAGTGCCATGAATACAATTTAATTTCATTGAGTAGATGTGCTCAGAGATGTTCTGTAAGGAAGAAGGAAGGCAGATTTCTGCTCGCTTGATCATGTTCTGCTGCCAGGCACAGTTGTGGGAACTGTGTGCTATTCTGCAGCAACTTTCCAAGGTGGCTGTCTCTAGACAGCCACAGAGGCAACCGGCAACCTGTGGATTCCCCTGATTATGTGGAGGAGGCAGCAGCTCTCTGGGGTGGGTCTGTTCTGTAGCACAGAGGTCACTACTCTGTCCCTACCAACAACACTGAAAGCAGGGAATGCTCTGATTTTTAATTTATTAAATGATGTTTTGCTTAAAATAGCCCAAGAAGTGTCTGTTTTCTGGATCTAAACAGGCAGAGTTCAAACAAGTCTCAAAAATAAGTAAAGTCTGGTTGTTGGCCAAGGTCTAGATGCTCAAGCTAATTGGGGAGAACTCCTTGGTGATATAGGCAAAGGAGCAGCTCCTCTGGTCCCCCTGGGACATGTTCCCATGGGGAAAGCAAGACCACTTCAACTTCTCAGGCTTATTGTGTCTCTCTTTAGAATTTATCTGTCCACTCAACAGGAACTATTCTCTATTTCTTGAATTCATTCTCTCAATTCCAGTGAGGACTTTGCTTTATTTCCTCATTCTTTTATCACACAGCCCATAAATATTTATGAGTACCTCTGTAAACAAGCCCACTCCAGTCCACTCTCCCTACTTCCTAGCCCTCTGCTGTATCTTTGCACATATATATACATATATACATGTAGGCTTGTACACAACACACAACTGTGCAATTCCTTGGCCACTCTAACTTTATACATTCCTCCTTGACTGCCACAATCCAAGCTCTTAGTCCTATAACCTGCTTTTGTAACTCCTGAATTTCTCTTACCAAGGCATTTCCTCACACTGTACTGAAACTGGTCACTTCTCTGTCTCCCATGCCAAATGTAACTGTAGTAATGGCAAAGATCACCAGTATAGCCCCAAGACCCAGCACAGTACCCGGTATAGTTCAGATGTTCAATAAACATTTATTGAATTTACAGTCTGGTATCCAGACACTAAGTTTTCTCTGGAAGCTCTCAGTTCAAAGATTGGCCCTTATGATCAAAGTAGGTAAAAGAAACTCCAGATGCTGGGGCAAAATAAAAACTGACAAAAATATTTCTTTTTTTCCAAGTCTCTCTTATCCTCTTCCCTTTAGGGAAGGAAGGAGGGAGGTAGATACAGAGATGAGAGAGAGCGAGAGACAGCAGAGAGAGAGAGAGAGAGAGAGAGAGAGAGAGAGAGAGAGAAGAGTGTAAGTCACTTGGTATCATTGTACCATAGGAAACCATCTCGTCATGAATATTCTTGATCCTTTTCAGATTTTTGGCTCTGTCTCTGATAGAGTATGTGACCTTGAAGGAGTTTTTAACCAGAGCTTTGTTTTCTCATTTGTAAAATTAAAATGTGGAGAAGAGAGGTGGCCACAAATTCTTTGACACTATTACCATCTAAGGATGGGATCCATGTCCTTCTCCTTCCCTCTTTGATATGGATGGGCTCTGTGACTGCTTGACCAGAGGAATGCTGTACCAATTTCCATGCACAGGACTTCAGAGATTGGCAGCTTCTACTTCCCTCCTTAAAATGTTCACCCAAAAGAATTCAGTCATGCTGTGAGGAAGCCTGACTAGTCCCAGCCATTCTGGCCCTTCTAGCTAAAATTCAGATGTGCCTGTGAAGAAGTCATCTTTGATATTCAACCCAGCTGAGCCTTCAGATGACACCAGACCAAGCTGCTATCTGACTGCATCAACAAGACAGACCCCAAGCAAGAACCATCCAGCTGAGCCTGGTCAATACAAAAGATTGCTAGGCACTAAGGATTAGGATGGTTTACGGAGCAACAATAGATAACCACAACTGGAAATAACACCTATCTCACAGGACTGTCGTGAAGGCAAGATGATTTTCTAAAATATTCTTTGAGATGGGATCTCACTATTGCAGCCCAAGTTGGCCTGGAACTTGAGATCCTCCAACCTCTGCCTTCTGAGTGTTGGGATTACAGTCATGCACCACTATGCTTGCCTATAATGGGATTCTGTAAATGCAAAATCCCTTTCCTATAGCCTGGAATAAAACAAACTCTCAAAATATATCACTTTTCCTGCCCTGTCTCCCTTTTCTCTTCTTTTTTAATTAACTTGAATTTTCAAGGATCGCCCTCAGTGTCATCATCGAGGGTGAGGGAGGCAAGTGGAGGGGGCTATGGGGCAGATGTTTGGAATTTGAATAGCACTCTTTTCTTTTCTCCTTTCTGTCTTTTCAGCGTTCTTTAAAGCATGGCCAGATCATTTAGACCTAAAATAAGAATACCAAATTCAGCCTTTGTGATGCAGACAGAAAAATCATAGGTTTGGTATAGTCTAATGATAATGAAAAGGCCCAGAAGCTAAAATGATTCAAAGCAAAATTTCCTTGACAACTTTCTCTCTCTCTCTCTCTCTCTCTCTCTCTCTCTCTCTCTCTGTGTATGTGTGTGTGTGTGTGTGTGTGTGTGAAAGCAGTTAAACAAACACTGTAGACTACATAATTATTTAACCATGTAAACAAGATGGAATTGCAGGTTTTGGGGAGGGAGGGGTTTAAAAAGTACATGGTTACCTGTAATTATAGTCTTGCTAAGTTTGATTTTATAGACCAGCAAAACTCAAGTTTGACTTAAAAACCACATAGAAAGACATGATGCAAATTGGGAATGCTCTTTTGCTTTCTGACTCAAATGGGCGACCTTATTTCATTCTAGTGATATCTCTAAAAGCTGATACTTTATTCTGGTTATTGCTCAGGTTGCGAGTCTTGTTAATTACTTTGCCCATTCTGGAAAACTTGCGACCAACTTAGTTTGAGATTATATGAATTGCTGCAAACCCTTATACTGTACAGCTAAGAGGGTTCATGGAGGGTCTGAACTGGGTCAGGATGGTAAATCCTACCAAATACCTGGTTAAGTCCAGGGTGGAAGTGGGTCAAACTAGATGTCAGACATGTGTAGATGAGGAAATTGGCTTATTTTACTTTTACATTTCCACTTTTGCTGTGGATGTGCAAAAGACCGAGAATTCCTTGTCTCACATGCTGCAGGATAAAAGCCTCTGGGACATCTGAACACCCAGAAAGGTTGGAAGGGCGGGGGTGGGGAGATTGGGGAGGGGGGTGCGGGGACAGCTGAGTGTCTGGTGACGCAGTTTGGAGTCAGCTACAGGCGAGGGGTTTGGCCTGCTTGGAGAAGGAATTCGGTCTGCTATTGAAGATGCATTTCCCTGATGAGACCATAGGGCCGGAGCTCATGATTTTATGAGTGCAAGGCCCTCGTCTTTCTTGGCATCAAGCCACTTTTAACTAAGTCTTGCGTGTCTTCGGACCAGAGACTACGCATGGGCCTTTCAGCTTTGTGCCTCCCAAGGAGTGGGCGTCCACGGAGGGCGCAGCTGGAGTGACTGCTTTCTTACCATTTCACAGCTCCTGGGGAGGCGCGACTGTGCTTGAGGCGCTGGCAGGCTTGTTCTATAATTACCTGGATTGTCTCGGGTGCAGAACATGCGCTCCACCCTGTGTGTCTTCACGTGAGCCCTCACTGTCGGCAAGAGCCAGAGAACGTGGTCGAGAGCAGAATGGGTGCCATTAGTCTCAAAGTCAAGTTTCTATTTTCGGGGCTGGGGGGGTCTTTGTCAATAATTGCAATGGTAACTCAAATCCCCGGTCCAGGATTACATCCCAGATGCCCTCAAGTCAGTGCAATCACGCCTTAAATTAAGGCGCCCCAGGGCACGGAGCGTGGCAGCAGGCAACTCTCGGCCCGCGAGCCCCGGGCCTGCGGGGAGCAGGTTCCCGGGAGTGACAAGTCAGCCGGGCCGGGGGCTGGGCGCGGCAGATGCGGGGAAACTGTGCTCTCGGGAGGCCGGGGCTGCGCGCCGACCCCGCGGACTCGGCGCGGCGCTCGCCATTGGTTGCGCCTTGGGCCCTCGGCCCGCACGTTGCCGCCCTCGCGCTCGCCGCCCCGTTTTCCCCGCGCCTCACGGGGCCCCGCACTGGCTCCCGGCGCCCGGCGGGGGCGCAGCGCGCGGAGCGGCGCCGGGGGCGGTGCCTCGAGCAGGGCGCGCTGGGATTGGCCGCGGAGGCCGGGGGGCGGGGCCGGCGCCGGAGAAAACAGCGCGCGCCCCCGGGTGCAGGTCCAGCCGCGAGCCTGAGCGTCCGAGCCGCGCACCGTGTCCCCTGCATTGCTTGCTTACTCTTTGGTCTTTTTCTCTAGACCGGGCGCACCCCATCCCGCGCGCTCCTCGCGCTCTCCCGCGCAGCGCGAGTCTCCTCCCGCCCCGCACGTCCTGTCCCGTGCGGTGCAGCCCGGCCGGAGCGGCGATGCGCCTCATCCAGAACATGTGCACCATCGCCGAGTACCCCACTCCGGGCAGCGCCGCCGCCGCCGCCGACTGCTGCCTGGGGGCCGCGGGCCGCCGGCTCGTCAAGATCGCCGTGGTGGGGGCCAGCGGCGTGGGCAAGACCGGTGAGTCCTCGGGCTTGGCTCCGGTACACGGCGTGGGGAACCCCCGCGGGATCGGCGGATAAACGAGGCGGGGAAGTGGGTGCTGCAGCTGGGCGGCTCGCCCACTGCTAAGGATCCACTGCGGGTTTGAGAGGGACCTCAGCCATCACCGCTTCCATCCCCCTCCCCCATTTCTACTGGGGTCCAGAATGGCCAGCCGACTTCCCGGGCACTACCAGAACAGGGGGATTGGAACTTGGGGCGGGCGGGCGGGGCGGGGTGGAGGGTCGAGCCTCTGGCTGTGGCTGGCACAGAGGGGCAGTTAGAGAACTCCTCCCACATGTCTGTATGTTAGGAGGACATTCGCCTGCTGGAAGGCTTAGGTGTGGCCCTGCTGGGCTCCGGGGAGGGGTGGGCTGCAAGACCCTCAGCTGGCAGAGCCGCAGTTCGCCAGGCCTCTGCCTCCTCCTGTGTTCCAAAGAAGGGTCAGCGGTAGGAGTTTCCTCGGTGGCGGGCTGTAGCTTTCTCTTGGGGAGTGGTTTTCCAGGCGGGCTGGCATGGAGGACCGTCTGAGTTCCAGGGCTAACCTCTTCCCTTTCTCTGTTCTGACCCGCAGCTCTGGTGGTCCGGTTCCTCACCAAACGATTCATTGGCGACTATGAGAGAAATGCAGGTGAGTAGAGGCACTAAGAGGAGGCGCTGTCGGGAGCACTGCCGCTCCCGTTTCTCAGGGTGACCCAGGCAGGTCCTTCAGAGTGACAATGTGAGCATCTGGATCCTGGCACTCTCCACCCTGTGTGCCCCTCCATGCCCCTCCTCCTCCTCCTCCACCCCACATAACTGCCATCTGGCCTCATTCCATTCCAGGCCCATTCATCATTTTATCAAGTGCCTGAAAGTATTCTCCTTGGTATGTTTTAACTATAGGGACCCCAGTTGGAAGCACCCTTTGTACTCCAAGGCCTCTCCCTTCAAAACATGCCTGCAAAAGTCATAAAAAACTGCCGGCCAGCTCCTCCCCCACCCCTCTCCCTCTCTGCTGGCTGCCTTTCAGAGGTGACCTTTTAAAGCAAAGGCCAAAGGACAGCAGTTGTAAACCTAAAGTTCCCTTTTCTTAACAAAGAAAAATAACTAGATGGGTGGAATTTAAGGAGGAGAGTTCCCGAGTAAATGAAAGCACAAGTATTTCCATCGCTGTGATTAAGAACAGCTACTGGGAAGGCTTAAGGGCTTCCTACCTGTGTCCTGCTAGCAAACTGCTTAAGCCCATAGGCTCCATGAAGTACCTATGGGGGATTATTTGAAATGAGTTATATAAGCCATGCCAAGAGAAGATCCTGTAGCCTCTACTTTGGTGTAGAGTTAATAATTGTTACGTCACATTTTTATTCCAACTGATGTTAGCTATATATTAACTAGTCATATTTGCTTACTAATCCATTATATCTAGTGGCTAAAATACAAATTTATGGTCAAAGAATGACAATGGGTCAAGATAAAACAAAAACACCCGTGCCAAGCAGGAAAATTTGCTTCAAGGAAGAACTGTAAATGTGGAAACTGTTTAAAATTAGACAAATGGGTTTCTAAAAACTCACAAACTTTGCCCTGGTTTTAACAACGGGGTTAAAATGCAGCTGGTCTTTAAGAAAAATCTGAAGTAAACCCACTAGATAGAAATAAACTGTATCTTTTTTTGTGCACTGATGGAGGATACATTGTTTTCCTAATGTAAGGAAAAAAAAAAACCCATGATGTTTTAAAAGTCGCATGTGAAGGAAGAACATAATCTCTTTCCTTTACCCTCATAGGTAATCTCTATACCAGACAAGTCCAGATAGAAGGTGAGATGCTGGCGATTCAAGTTCAGGACACTCCAGGTATTCAGGTGAGAAGTCTGAGACTGTGGCTGGGGCAGACTGGCTGTGGAGTTGTCCACTTGCTCTCAGAGTCCCTCATGCTGAAAAAGGAGAAGATTTGAGGAGTCAGGGCTAGACTTCTACATGCTGTTTGACACTTGAGTTGTGTCTGGCTGTTGGTCAGTCTTGGCCTGGCCTAATTTGGGAAATTTGGCTACGGAGCAGAATTCTTCCTGCAGAAGGATTCAACACAGAGGAAAGACCAAACCAAACACTTGGAATTGGCACCATTTCCTTGCTATAGTTAAAAAGGTCAGTTTTTACACATGTGTTTTTGGCATTAAAAACCAAATAGCTAGGGTATAGTCTCAAATACTTAGGATCACTTTTATGTTGTGGAAAGTTTCTGTGCAGACAAAAGAGCCTGCGAGTGGTTGGCTTATTTTTTTTTTCCTCCTGAACTGGGCAGTTATCCAGGTTTAAATGCTTCCAGCTCCTATCTTTACTTCCCCAGACTTACTGTCTCGCCAGTTAATTTCCCATTTTGTGCAACTACAAAGTCTCTCTGCATGGAGTTCTCGGCAGGTCAATTTTCCACTTGAGTATGGTGAGCTGTTATTTATTCCAGCTCTGTGCAGCTGGATCAACATATTGTCAAGAAAGTTGAAGTGTGTGGGGATATAATTTGTTTATGACCTGCAACCTGCATTACTGTGAAGGACCCTTTTGAATTCGGGATCTAACCAAGCCAGGGTTCTTTGTGGCACTCACCATTCACCCTCCTGTGCCCCCTCTCTTTCAGGTCCACGAGAACGGCTTGAGCTGTAATGAACAGCTGAACCGGTGCATTCGCTGGGCAGATGCTGTGGTGATGGTTTTCTCCATCACCGACCACAAGAGCTACGAACTCATTGGCCAGCTCCACCAGCACATCCAGCAGCTCCACCTGGGAACCCGGTTGCCTGTGGTGGTTGTGGCCAATAAAGCCGACCTGTTGCACATCAAGCAGGTTGACCCTCAGCTCGGACTGCAGCTGGCCAGCATGCTGGGCTGCTCCTTCTATGAAGTGTCCGTCAGTGAAAATTACAACGATGTCTATAACGCTTTCCATGTCCTGTGCAAAGAAGTAAGTCACAAACAGCAGCCCAGCAGCACGCCCGAGAAGCGAAGAACCTCCCTCATTCCTAGGCCCAAGTCACCCAACATGCAGGACCTGAAGAGGAGGTTCAAGCAGGCTCTCTCTGCCAAAGTGAGGACTGTCACCTCTGTCTGAAGCAGGACCACTCAAGGGGGTTTGGTCTTCCGGGAAGAGGGCCTGAGGTTCTTCCAGTGCTGGCCATAGTTCATGGTTCCAGAAAGGGCTGGAGAGGGGCCCAGGGGCCCTGTGGAACTGCTGCAGGAAAGGAAGTGTGTGGAGCAGGGGGTAGATGGTGAGGCTTGCGTGAGCCCACCAAGCTACTCTGGATATGCCTTGTCCTTCAGAGTGGGGAGGGGCAGACACCATTTGGGTTTTCTTCTTCATTGCCTTGTAGATGATGGTCAGTTACTGTGTCACCAAATATATTGATGTGATTTAGGGTGTGAATGAGAGAGATTAAGCATTCACAGGCTCCCCTGCCCGCTTCCTTCTGTCTTTTTTTTTTCTTCCAGAGGAGGAATTTCTTTTCCCTTATCAGTATGATTTGCATCTCTGGAGCACTAGTCCTTACAGGAAACCTTTCTAACCAAAAAGAGACCCAGATTTCTTTCTTTAAGAACAAGAGGGCCCTCCCTCTTCTTGCCACCAGTAAAGGTCGAGAATATTCTGTGTACAGACAGTTGTGAGTAGGGGTCTGCAGGAAGTAGCTGGCTCTCCTTGCACAGGGTGGGTATGCTTAGTGGGACTCAAGTAGCTTAAAAACTCTTCCATCCAGGACTGGCCAATTGTGAGACTGTATAGTTTTGTATTTTAAACTGTTGCATTAGGTACCAGAAAAAGAAAAAAAGTATCAATTGATTTGGTGTGATTTGTGTAAATGGCTCATGGCAGTGACGTTGGGTTGCTTCCTAGGCCTGGCCGAGTCATGGTTTTGGGTGGCTGAAATACAAAGACACTATCCAACAGACAGTGACCAGATGCAGGGGCTTCCCGCCAAATCCCCTAAACAGATGCACTTTAAAAAGCCATTCATGCTTTGGTTTAAACTGTAATTAATTTATTTTATGTACAATAAATCTCATTTGAAAAGAGCAGACGTCTGACTTGGTGTTTATTGAAATGTTCACCTCTGCCCTCCAGGCAAGGTATTACTCAGGGTCTCAAATGAATTGGGCACGTTGAGTCAGCAGGGCCCCTTCCAGGGGTTATCTCCTGAGTCTCACAACAAACCAAGGAGGTGCATTTTATTATCCCCATTTTACAGATGATGAAATAGGCTTACAGAGCAAGTTAAATAACTAAAGAGCCACGATCCATGAATGTAATGAATTGCAATCTGTTTGCTGCTAGAGGTGGGTGCCCCTTCTCATTTCCTTCATGGTCCTCTAGGTAAACTTGAGAAGAGTCTGTGCACATTTCTCTCAGCAAAGTCTTTAAGGGTATTCATGCTTCTAGACAAGACCATTTATTTGATGAACTTCTTGGGTATGCTGTTTCCAAAAACCAGAATTTATTCTCATGGAGCCCTTGCCGTGTGTGTGTGTGTGTGTGTGTGTGTGTGTGTGTGTCCCTTGCCGTGTGTGTGTGTGTGTGTGTGTCCCTTGCCGTGTGTGTGTGTGTGTGTGTGTGTGTGTGTGTGTGTGTGTGTGTTTCAATAGCCAGGCTCTTCACTCCCATCTGGTCCAGGAAGTGCATGCAAGCTCTGAGTTGCCATCTTTATAGGCAAAGAACCACATTTACATTTGAGCAATGTTTTTTTCATATACTGACCTTGTTTAAGCCTCAGGAATAACCATTTTGCAGATGAGAAAAACAGGCTCTGAGTTTTGGGTGATGTCCTCGAGTTCACACAAAGGACCCCTCAATCAGTATCTCCTATGTTGAATGATCTTTTACTTCATGATGTATCACATACAGGGTAATGGTGCAGAGCTGGGGTGGTGGAATATGGGAAGCCATCAACATGAGTAGCTACTGGAGTCTGTTATGGGGCCAGGCTTTCCAGGGGGAGGGGATCTCTTGGTAGGGATGACCCAAACTTCCTTGTACACAGGGCAATTTTCTATGTGCCAAGCCTAACCTCACCTCTGAGAAGGGGGCATGTGTTGGGGGTGGGGAGGGAAATGTTGGCAACAGGGATACTCTCAAAAATGTGGAAGTCAGGGCAGGGACAAGTATTTCCAGTAGATACTCACTTCTATTTGTGTTCATTCTATGAGGCCGTGTTTTTGCTTTTTTAATAGAGGTGTTTGCAGGTATATACCTTTATTGTACAAGAAAAGAAACAGAGTTTGTGTTCTGATAACATAGCAGGGGGAAGGAATGGCATAGCAGAGATAAAACTTAAAGAATTGAAACATGAAAAAGGTCACATAGCACTGGGAGAATGAAATAGCCAATTAGTCACATGCAACCATATATACTTTTTGCTTCTGTAACCTGCTTGCAAGGGTATATAAGGGGAGACCGCTTTGTTCTCAGGGCTCAGCCTTTGGACACGAGTCCACTGGGTCTGTGCGGCACAAGAAAACATTGCTTCCTGCTAATCTGCCTCAGTGTTTCATATCTCAGCTTGAGATTCCTGTAACATTATTAGCAGAAGCAAGGTATCGGTCAGAAAAACACACTTCGGGTATTTCAAACAAGAAGGGAAACAGGACAGCTACTCACAGAACCATTAGAAAATAGTGAGGAGGGAGCTAGGGAGAGCTCTGTTAGGTTCACCAGCAGCTTTTGTATGATCACAAAACTGAAGGCATAACAGAAGGAACCCTAGTGACAACTGCCAATAACAATGAGTCAGGTCACTTAGAAAACCTGCTGGCCACTGCACAGCTTCACATTTGTGAAAACCCCCGTATCTGCCCACCACTGCCAGAAGACCAATAATGTTGATTCTGTCTCAGCGCACTTACTAAGTCAATCCTTTACTGCCTGTCATTGATGAAGTTTAATCTGGAACCTTGGCTGCAAGGAATTCTGGGAAATGCCAATCCCAGGCTCCAGCCCCTGGGATTTAGGGAAGACCATGGACTCTTCACCCTAGATGGGTGGGAATGGAACTAACATTTCCTGCTGACTCTCCTGCACAATCAAATCACTGTGACTTTTAGAAATGTCACTTACATAATAGTGGGTCCCTTTCTATCACCCTAGCTCAGGGTAGGTCTGTGTCTGCCTAGATGCTCAGTTTAGTGCACCAAGTCAAGTACTATAGCTTTTTTTCTTTCTCTCCAGGATATCCACAGGTCTCCTGAATCTTACAGTTGTGTTAAAAGAGAGCACCTACCTAGCAAGTGTGAGGCCCTGGGTTCAAAAACTCAGTAACACTAGAAAAGATAGGTAGAATTCTGCCAGTGATAAGACTTAGTTCCTTGGGTGGGTGGGGCATGGAGCAATGTTTTCCCTCACTTAAAGTAGCTGACCTGCCAAGGAACCAGCACACCTGACGTTCAGGCTCCTCCCTGCTTTTCCTCTCTTCCTTGCAGCTTCATCATCCCATCCCTTCCCACTTTGAGGCCATGTTAACAGTGGCCAGTGAGCAAGAGGTTCGTCTTTACATACTTGCCCTGGTCTCTCCTCACATTCTGGAGTGAAAGAAGATACAAGTTTTCCTGTGGCAGATTTCTGCAGCAAAATGCTAGGGCAGTGGTGCTTCCCCCTTTCTTTTCCACCCTCTGTACCTCTGCAGACCTGTGCAGTCTTGTTTCCCCCACTGCTGGTGTGCCACACCTTCTCACCTCCTGCCCTGGGCACTGCCGATCTCCCCTCACCTCCTCACCTGTGCACACGACTCAGTTACTCACACTTCTCCTATGTGCTCTGGCTGCAAGGGGTCTTCGAGCTTTGGTCTGTCTAGGGGAATAAAGTGGTTTGTTCAAGGCCATGGGGTAGGGGTCAGGGGCACAGAGAGACAGACATAGACAAACATACACGCATAGATAGAAAGAGACAGGAAAACAGAGATACTGTCCTTGTTGGAAACTACTCAAGTTCTAGTTCTGTCCTCTGTGTCAGGTTGACTTGACTCTAGAGTTCTGGCACTCACCCTGTTTTCTTCTTTCGAATTTGGTATGGTGTTTCATTATCTCCTCATCTCTTCATTTAATCCCTTCCCCCCACCTTAAATGGCTATACTACATTCCCCTGGCCCTGAAAACAGCGCTCTCCATCCTAGGCAGGAGGACCCCTTCTTGGCCACCTGGCCAGAGGAAGGCAGGGGTGTGTATGTGTCTGAATGGAAGGCAGTAGAGAAAGGGAAGGAATTCAGATTTATTGAATATCGACAATGTGCCGGATTACATATGCTGTCCTTTAATCTTCTGAAGAATCCTGAGGAAGGTAATGTTACTTCTATTTTATGAAGCATCCCATGCTTTACACACTGAAGTAGCCAGGTGAGCACTTCCTTTGTAAAATTGATTACTTTTTATTTATTTATTGGGGGTACTGACATTTGAACTCAGGGCTCTACTACTTGAATCATGCCCCAGCCTTTTTTGCTTTAGTTGTTTTGGTTTGTTTGTTTAGATAGTCTTAAGCTTTTACCCCAACTGTCCTTGGACCATGATCTCTTACCTCCACCTTCTGAATCTCCTGAGTATCTGGGATTATAGTCGTGTACCATCACACCTGGCCTTTTCCTTTCCATTTTAAAGATAAGAAAACTCAGACTGAGAGATTAAGTTACCTGTTTAGGGCCACACAGACAGTAACAATGATTGCTTCTATGGTATTTATTGAAAATCTATGCATCAGGCACAGTAGGAGGTGTTTGAAAAAACATTTTCCACAACTCTACCCTAGGATGTCTTTAGCCTTTTCTACAGAGAAGGAAAAGAGAGACTCAGAAGAATGGAGTACCTGGCCCAACTCTGAACTGGCAGAGCCAGGATTCCAGCCTGGGTACTTAAACCCTTGGGACAGCCCACATCTCAGCTCCTTGCAGCAGACCTCTCTGCACAGAACTCCGTGTAGAATTCTCCTTCTCCTGCCTGCCACCCTCTTGCTCTGGCTCCATCTCCCTTCTGTTACCAAGCTTAGGCCACCATCCTTGCAGCTGGACCACATCTGCTGTTGCCATCAGCCGGCTGCTACTGGCCTCCAGCCACCTTGGTAATAAAGATGTCCAGGCAGGGAGGGGCGCCCGCACAGCCTGTCTGTCTCAAAACTGAACCCACATCTGTGGTGATGTCTGGCTTTTGAGTTTCCTCCCTGCTTCAAATCAAAACCATTCACAGCATGCTGCAGCCGGCCAGGCCCCCCTGTGCAGTCATAGGGGTGACTGAACCTCCCCAGTACTCCTTCGTTCGCACGGCACCACCAGTCAGTGATCCGCAGCCCAGGTCACTGGGCTCCTGACCCCAGGTGTAGGAGTTTCCACTGTGTTTACAGACGGCCGCTTGTTTAGGAGAAAAGTGGGATTTCAGCATTCATCTTACACTCTAACAGGGAAAAAAACAAATCTATTTTCTGGGCAAACAAACAAGCTTGTGGGCAAATCCCTACAAAGGAGCAGTTGGGAAACTGTGATCTGCTTTGGATAAGGGGAAACAGGGACAGCCCAACAGTCTATGGAGAACTCCTCACAGGACTCCCTGGGAATGGCCCAGAAGGAAGAGCTTGTCTGGTTACAATAAAAAACTGGTGTTGTCCGCAGCCCCTCTGAAGTCTAAAGAGAAAAGTTTTCAGAAAAGTTCTTATTGTCTTCACTACTCCTGAATTTGAGAAGAGAATAAGGCTAGGGTTAGACCCCCCAGGCACCCCTTCCCCCATACCTCCTTTGCACATAGTCTGAAAACCCTCCATTATCTGGCTTTGTCTTCTTAAGTTCCTTTTGAAGCAGAGATGGAGTTTCTTGATGTTTCTTGGGCAGGACAGCAGACAACACTTGTAATACTGGATTATTTGTTGTTGAGAGTCTGTGTTTGGTAACCAGGGTAAGATAAATAATAGTGGTCTTGGGGGGAGCTTGTGGAATTCTCTGTTATTGAACTATCACTGTAAAGTAGCGGCCGTGGCACCAACAGCTATTTGCATAGGCTCTGGCTCTCTGGGGACATCATTGGGCTGACACAGCTCTGGAGCACTTCCAAACAGTTTTCTCTGTCTGCTATGTTTGCTGGGAAGAGTGCTCCAAAGGGAGGTTTACAAAAACAGAAGTCAATTGCTACAAAGTATTTACTCCCTATCAATCCTGTATATAAAAAGCGGCCTGAGAGGCCCTTGGCAGGGGATTTGCGTTTGTATGCTTGCTTTGGCACTGGCCAGCCACAGTTATGGTGGTAAACACTCATACCCAGGCCTGAGAGAGGAGGGACCAGCATTACCACTCAGCTAAGCCTTTCATGTCACCTTCAGGTGGCTGCCATATGGGCAGGGGGAGGGAGTCCTTTAAAACATACACATTTGGGACAGGCTGAAAATGCAAATGAGGATGTGAATCTCAGATTCTTCTTAAAGATTTTCTGGTTAACGTTAGTGATGGAGAAATTTCTATTGGAGACGTATGGCCCTGCAGGAGCAATTTTCAGACACTTATTGACAATAGTGGTGACTCTTAGGTGACACCTGAAATGTCCCCCAAAGGCTCAGGTGTTCGAGGCTTGGTCCCCAATGCATCAGTGCTCATGGGCAGAGCCTTTGGGAAGTGACTGGATCCTGAGGTTCTGACCTCATCAATGGGTCAATTCATTAATGGGTTCATGCCTTACCGGACTGTTAGGAAGTGGTGGAAACTTTAGGAGGTGGGGCTTTTGTAAAGGAAGTAGAGTGCTGGGGGTCTGCCCTTGAAATGTGCATTTGTCTCCAGCCCATTCCTCTCTGCTTCCTGGTTTCCGTGAGCAGCTCTTCAATACCACACATTTCCCACCATGATGTTCTACCTCACCGCAGTCCAGAAACAATGCAGGAAGCTGACCATGGACTGAAACCTTTGGAAGTGTGAGCCCAAATAAATCTGTCCTCCTTTAAGTTGATTTTCTCAGGTATTTTGTCACAGTCACAGAAAGCTAGCATGGGTGCTCTGATTCAGCTTACCATGTGCCATGCTCTGAGGACTCTACATGTGTTAACTTTTTAAATTCTCACCATAATACAATGTGGTAAGTCCTACTGTCATCCAATTTCAGGCTCAACTAAGACCAAAAGAAATAAATTACTGTGCAGGAGAGGAGGGATTGAAACCAGCCGTTGGACTGGACTCGGGTCACTGCTCCTGACCTTTGGATTAGACTGCCTTGGAAGTATGTTGGACCAAAGTGCTCCTCCTCCATTTTCCATCTCCTCAAAAGTATCTCTAATCCTTTACTTTATTTGATCTTGTTCTTCTGTCGACATTTTTTCATTTTGTAATTCATTTCATTATTGTCCTCAGCAATAAAGACCCACATTTTCTGGTGGGTCAAGTGCAAGCCAGGCAGTTAGGAATGGCTCCATAGTACCCTCCTACAAAGTAGGTACCACCAGTATCTGTAACTGGCAGATGTAGATGCAGAGACTTGGAAGCGGCCACAGTGCTCTAAACTTAAACCCAGAGATGTGAGAGCCCTGCTCTGCATGCTGCCCTTGTGCAGTGAGTAGAGAAGGCAAATGCCTTCTTCTCCAGCTCCTCCTTGCTTGTGAAAGGAGCACAAAACTAGACAGTGCTAGGACGGTTCCAGGAGGCTTTGCCACATAACAGTGGTCTGGAACCACCTTCTTTCTCCTTATTTGTTCAGGGCCCTTTTGGGATCCACACCAAGTTTTTATTTAGTCTTGGTTTTTTGATTTTATTGGAGGGGGGTGCTGGGAATCAAATCCATGTTTTGAGAGTTCTACTACTGAGCTACAGCTCCATCTTTCTGCTTTTCATTTAAGTATTCAAGGATCCAGGAGTTGTGTTATATTGTGCCCCTGCCTCCTTCTCCTCTTTCTTCTTCTTCTTCTTTTTTTGTTTTTGTAGCCTAGATTGCCCTTAAACTCATGATCCTCCTGCTTCAGGCTCTTGAGAGCAGGGATTACAGGTGTGGACTTCTATACCACCTAATGCTTTCTTCCTTCTTATTTTAACCAAACTCTGGTTACCACCAACTTCTCCCAGCTCACCTTTTCTCCAAAGCCTTCCACCAGCTGGTTGTCTGCTTCGCTCAGTTCTTCTAACCAGTGGCCACAGAAATGGAAAAGAGGATAATAAACCAAATCTTTGACATTTCTTTCCACCACTCAGACACTACCTGCAGCCACATTTAATGCAGCACGGAGAGCATTTTCAGGTCATGGTAACTGCTTCATGGTGACACAGTCAGCAACTTTCTTCTATTATTATATCACAGTAGAAGTTTTGATTATTTTTTATAAAGTAAAAAAATAAGCTGGTAAAGATACAATTTAAGTTACAAAAGTAATACGGAATACACATTTGCTATAGAAAAACAAGTTGAAATAATACAGAAGTATACAGAGAAGACTCCTCCTCCGTAGCCCTCCCTCTAGTACTTCTTCCTGGACTTAAGCACTTGTTAGCAGTGTGGTTTATATTTCAGAGAATTACCTCCACATGTGGACACAGGTTTGACACTTCACCTTGAGAAGGCACTCACATAGAGCCCAGGCATCAGGAGAAGCACCAGCTGCTTGTTTGTGAGTGTCACAGAGTTGGGGACCTGTCTGGCTCACGATGACTATTCCTCACAGAGTGCCTGGAATGTTGGGTGCAGGGGCTCGCTCAACATTTGAGAATGAATGGATGAATGAATACAGATTTGAGTCATATAACAGGTTATTTTTGATTTTAGAAAATACTAATCTTTGCTGACAGTATAATTTCTTCAGAGCTACTGTTATTTTCTTCCTCCCTTAAACCTAAGAGTTTTAGATTTGCAGGATAAACAAGAAAGCAGCTGAAGTCTACTATGTTTCATCATTAAAGAACTGGTGTTAGCTGGAAAGTATACTTGGGAAAACGTGAACATCTATTTCCATAGAAACTCGGCTTTCATTACATCTCACAGTGGTTTCTAAATTCATTTCTTCCCCCCAAAATGACAGTGTTTTGTAAAGACACTAAAATCAGAGGCATATCCTTTACCTGTTTAATTCACACTAGAAACCATTTCTCAGCTTTACCTCCTTATTTCAAACATCTTTTAGAGATCCAGAAATTTCCATCAGCCACACACCTGCAAATGTCTGGGATCCAAGCAGTTCTGTTTCTTTCTTTCTTTCCCCAGAGTTCTCATATAATTTCACTAGGCAGGTCTGGGTTTTTCTGCCATGGCCATAATGAAAATTTAAATTTACAGAAAAGAAAAGTTCATATTTCAATAGGAACTGAAAATTACAAAAATTCTAGGTGTCCTTCGAGGTTACAATCCAGACCCTCTGGGAGGGGAGAGCTTCTGTGATCTTCCTCTGAAGGTGGGGGGAGCCCTTTATAGGCAAGGACAGCCCTGCAGTCTCACACTTTCCCACTGCTGTTCCAAGTGGCCTGGCTACCCTGCCCAGCCACCAATCTGGAACAATGTGGTCCTTTGTTAAGGCAGGATGATTTACAACACACGCAGGCGGCCAGGCTGCCCAGTGTACCCCCCTCTTTGCCTTGCAGAAATGTTTCAGATCCTGAGAGAAACAAAGCCCCAGACTCCGTTTGATGCCACCTTCCTCACTTACACAGTCTCAAGGAGAACCATGCATCCCGCACATTCGTAATTCTACAGCTTGGCCAACTTCCTTGGCCAACATCAAATCAAAAGACTCACCTACTCAGCGTTCGCCAATAGGCTTTTATTTACAGTCAATGAACCTACAGGTAGGATCAGGAAGGTTACAAATAAAGGGCTATGGATGAATGGAAATCATCACTAATCAGTCTCTTAAAGACAGCTTGACACCTTTAGAAAAATGGAAAATTTTTTTAAGAATTCGAGCAATCCAAGCAAAGGACCTCACTGCACGCATCGTTATCAAGACCCTCTGGCAAAATTCAGTCAGACCCACAATTAGTCAGAGTGACGCTGGCTTTGGAGGCATATCTGGAATAGTGATGGATTGGTATTGGTATTTCCAGCTCGGCAGGTCTTATCTTCTTAACAGATGTCAGAAGCCAAGGTCTGGATGTAGTCGGTCAGTGGCAAATAGCAGCTCAGGAATGTTAAGTGGCCTCAGGAGTCTTGTGGACAGCACAATGACCTGCAGCAGAAGGCAAACACACTGCAGACAGTCAATCTCAGGTTATTTGATGATGAGAAATAAATGCAGCAAATGGAGCGGAGTACCCTGAAGATGATGGTGACAGGTTGAATGCCACCTGTTGCTAGTGCCCTGGGTAGAAGGAGTGGTGCACAGCCTGGGAAGGATGGCTTGAGGGACAGCGGGGCTGGATCTACTAGACTTAACCAACAATGCACTAGGAGTGACTGAGAATAAGCCTGGACAAAAAGTTAGTGAGACTCCCTTTTCAATAATAAAGCTATGTATAGTGGTGAGCCATTTAATCCAGGTAGTTGAGAGGCATAAATAGGAGAACTGTGGTCCAGGTTGGCCTGGGCAAAAAATGAGAGACCTTAACTGAAAAAATAACTAAAACAAAAATGGCTGGAGACATGGCTCAAGTGGTAGAGTGCCTACCTTGCAAGCTTGAGGCCCTAAGTTCAAACCCCGAAATGGCTGAGAAAAATGCTGGGTGCATTTGACAGGCAGAGTCTGAGCACCACCTCGCTGCTGAATTGAATATGGTCAGACTGTTGCTTTGTGATGCATTAAGCTGATCTCAATATCAAGGTTTCTTAAAGAGGAGTATTAGAAGTCATACGTACGAGGTGGGTGCTGTGCTTGTGGTGATGATGGTGGTGACTGGATTGGCTACTTAGGACCATACACTGAGCAGTTAAAAGCACAGAAACTTACTGTTGCACAGTCCTGGAGACCAGAAGTCCAAGGTCAAAGTGTTGTCAGGGGTGCCTCCTTATCAGGGATGCAAGGAGAATCTGTTCTGTGCCTTATTCTTCTTCCTGTGCTTTCACATTAGATTCTGTCTACATTGTCTGTCACTGTGTCCACACTTCCTCCCTTTATCTGGACACAGTCATATTGGGTAAGAGCCCATGCTAATGGCCTCCCTTTAACTTGATCATCTGCAAAGACCCTATTTCCCAAAAAGGTCATATTCACAGGTCCTGGAGGAGGGGCTAGAATCCCCCTGAGGAGGGGCAGGGGACACAATTCTATCTCTAACAATGATAATGATAACAGCTAAGATTTATTAGTTCTTATGATTAGATGTTAAACTTGTCTCATGTAATCTCCATTTAATCCTTATTCCACCCTTATGAACTAGTTACATTTATCATTCCAGTGTTATAGATAAGGAAATCATGAACAGAAAGGTTAGTGGCTTGTCCAGGACACACATAAAGGTCAAGTTGGGGGCAGTTGAGGCCCTGGCCCTGGGGCCATTCACTGTCTATTGCCAGACTCTGGGCATGGCTGCCATGCTCTGGCTGCTTGCTGGATGACAGTTCTGCCTTCTGTCAGCTGGACTTCACTCTGGGGAGATTTTTCTCGGCATCACTGGGAGAGCTTGTTCCCAGGGCCAGGCAGGTGTGTGATATGCTTTGTAAGGGCCAGGTGAAGTTTTGCCCAAGCAGACACTGGACACCCCCTGGATGAAGAGGTGACTATGGGAAGTGGGGAAGGTGGCTTAGGAAGGAACTCCAGAGCCCAGCAAGGCCCAGCCACACTGGGCTTCCCCTCACAACACTGCCTTGGCCACCACACTTTGGAGGGGAGTGTCCTGGACACTTCCCTGTACTCCCTCCTGTTCCTAAAGTTGTCCCTGTGTAATCAGATCAGTGAGGTAACCAGTTCCCAATTGAACTAGACCACACTGATGAAACACAGAGTCCACATTTCAACGCAAGGTGGAGGAAAATGGAAGGGACCACAGTGAAGGGAGAGGGGGAGAAAGGAAGCCTTTTATAATCACCTTGTTTTAAGAAACACCTTTTAGCAACCTTTGGAGCAGGTTCTCTGTTTCGTTGTTGTTTTGCATTTTTTTTTTAAACACCAGTCTTTGGAAACACTTATTTTACTTGTTCTTGAAAGAGGACTATCCCAAAAAATATATGGTTAATGTCAGTCATGGCATTAAAAAGAATACACTGAAATCAGTGCTTCTCATTTTCCCTTAAAAGCCAAGCAAGTAGAGTATGAGGGCAGTGTGTGAATTAGCACCCTTACCACCCACTCTCAGGGCTTAGCTGGTGTTTGAAGACACAACACTGGGGCAGCTACTCACTCCTTGTCTTTTGCACCAATCTCAGCAGTGGGAGATGCCAGCTCCACTGCTCACTGGCTGGATGCCTTCAGCAAATCCACTGGACTTGGAGGCTCAGTCACCTCCTCTGTCCCAGAAGGAAAAGAAAAGCTGAGTTGGCGGCGTTGTCACCTGGATCACCAGGATTATGGAAGCTCTTGTGTGGAGAGTACAGGAAGTGCTTAGAAGTCATCAGCTGCTATTTTCTTGTGGTTTGCAATTGGGTCAGACCTCCTTTTGAATCTCATGAATGCTAAGAACTCTCTAGAAAAACACATGTTCATACATGAGATTTCCAATAGAGTTTTAGGGGAGGTTCACGGACTCCCATGCATTCGTAGGCCACAATTAGAAAGGCCATTTAAAAACGCACATATAAATACATAAAGACAAAAATCCTTTGCACACCCTCTGAAAGCAGACCCTTATGAGGAAGGAGGGTCCAGCACTGCTCAATGAGTGCCAATCCCCCCACTGCCAGCCCTGTGGTCCTTGCTGTCACTGCAAAGCTGGTGGATTCCTCTCTGCTGAGGTCAGGGCGGCGTGAGGAGTAGGTGAGTCTCTTAGGATAGCTAAATTTTGTTGGCAAGTTTGAGGGGCTTGGAGTGAAAGGGCCACACAGTCAGTGGATAGCAACTCTTTGAGAGCCCATAGAATTTGTCACTGTCGGGTCGGGTGCCGGGCTCCCAGCTATGGCTGACAAGAGACCATAAATTTGTTTCCCATCACAGAGAAAGTTCCTCACATTTAAACAACAGATACTTACACAGCACATAGGGTGTCAGCTACCGTGAGGCCTCAACCAGGGACATCTGGGGCCTACTCTGGGGAGACGTGAAACAAGACAGATGGAAAACAGAGGCAGCTTGTGAAGTAGGTGGGGCTGTGTGGAGGGTGCAGGGCTGGCTCAGGGACCCTTCCATAGAGCAGAAGGGTTAGGATCGCCCAGCCTGGGTTGGACCCAGCTAAGTCACTTGCCAGTCACCTGACCCTGGAGAAGTTGCTTAATTGCTCTGAGCTCCACTCTCCTCACCTGTAAGGTACAGATAATGCTGTCTACCTCATGTGATTATTATGAGGATCACATGTGAACATTGGCGTAAGACATTTAATTTACTATAACGCAGGCTCCAGAGGGGCTTACAATGGTAACTGCTATTATCATCTTTATACCACTGTCACTGTCCTCCTCGTCTGTTCCCTCTGGGGAGCTCATGGCAGCTACTGGGGCGGTGCAGGGGATGTGGAGTTGTCTACACCTCTACCTCTTCACTGGCAGTCCCCCATGCCAGCTACCCTCAACTATTCTCAGCTTTGCGATCGATTCTTTGGGGACTATGGTACTTGGATTGGGTTCATGCTTGCTAGCCAGGCACTCTACCACTTGAGCCATGCCTCCAGCCCTTTCTGCTTTAGTTATTTTTCAGATAGGGTCTCAAGTTTTTTACCCAGGCCAACCTGAGACGGGATCCTTCTCCCAAGGCCTTCTGTGTAGCTGGGATTACAGGCATGTACAACTATCCCCAGCAGAAGATGCTTCTTTATGTGAATAGAGTTTTCCACTCTTTGCCTAAAGACCTCTCTTTCAGTCTGCTCAGGAGTCACTTCCTCCAGGAAGCCTTCCCAGACCACCCTCCCCAGAGGCTAAGCATGTCCCCATGCTGTTTGCATGCCTTGTTCCCTGTTTCCCTCGTTAGCCCTTTTCACTGTTTCTCAGCACAGAGCCTGAGAGAGAGAGAGCAGTCCTGATCCATTGAGTTTATAAATAATTGAAAGGGAAGAAGAAGTAAGACGGTAAGGAAGTGGGATTTTAGCAATAGCCAGAAGCAAGTTTTCCATTCAGGAGTCTCTAGTAAAGGATGGTTAAATGGCTCTGTGTAAATTCACTTCAAATCAATTCAATAAAAAACCTACTTAAAAGTCCCTATTTGAAGAGCAGGCAGAGTCGCCTTGTTAGCACTCACACACAGTGTAACAGTTGGTGGGCCTGAAGTATTTTTACATCTTAGGCATTTCTGGCACTCAGATGCTTTCTAGTATTTTCATTTTTTCCCCAGTTCATTCAAGTAACACTATTTCTCTATTATTTGCTAATATAGTTCTACAAATTCTAAAATAAATGGGCTCGAGATGGGAGAAAAGACACTCAAAAATGAATGAAAATGCTCAGAAGAAGCTGAAATGGGCCTATCAGGTGAAATTAATTTTTTTTTTTTGAGACAGGGTGTCACTATGTAGCTCAGCCTGGCCTTGAACTTGCCTCCCGAGTGCTGGGATTTCAGGTGTGTACCACCACGCCCAGTTTAAATGTTTAAAATATAGCCACAGTGTGACAGTAGGCAAAAGAAACATTAGAGAATTCTTTCAGAGGACTGTCTCCTCAGGTGTCCAGGGGCACTGACGTGGTCCTCCGCTCACTCCTTGTACCTCACGACTCCTGTTCTCAGAGACTTCTGTTCCTCTTCCTCTTCTTTATGTCATAGCCTTTTCTCCTTCTCCTGCCCTCCCTCTTTCTCCTTCTCGTTCTTCTTCCTTTTGGCAAATGTTGCTTTTAACTCTACAGCTCAGGCCTGGGTTCAAGAGTCTGCAGGCTTTAACCCTGACCCCTTAGCTCCTGGCTGCCAACCTTCACCTCTTCACCTGCTGAGCAGGTAGAAGCCCAGTGTACATGTGACCAGCAGTGCTCAGCGTGGCCTCCTCCTACCCCCACCCAGCTGTCACCCAGTAGACCAGGGCAACTCATAACAAGCAAAAGAACCTTTGCTGACTGCAGATAGATCTGACAGTTTCACAGGAGAAATAGCATTTAGCAGTCAAACAATTTTTGGGAAGAGCCTGACTTATACCACAGCTTCAGGGCAACTATGACTTAGGT